AACTAATGAAAAGAGCTTGAAAATTTTAAGTTTTAACGATAAGGACAAAATAAAGGGTAAAGTGAATACAGCTTTGACTTTTTAGTGTAAAAATGTGGTTTTTCGTTGTAGTAAACAGTACCGCGAGTTTTTCGTTAAAACTCCCAACAAATTAAGGGGCATATCTAGACCAAACAGCACAGACATTTGCATGATCTCCAACCTGATTGGTTTTTTTTTTTTTTTTTTTTTTTTAAGGAGAAAAGATGGACTTAGTCTTACAATGGGCAAGCATAATGTACTCCAAATTCACCCAACCTGATTGAGAATTAAACTATATGTTCATCTCTTTTTTTTATATATAATTTTGTACCAAGTCAGTAGCATCTCTTCTAGCTTTTCGGTTCTTATTACCACATTTTAGATTATAATTTCACATAATTAAATTTTGACATAAGGCTTATACAATCATGCGACCTTAGAATATAGTTGATAAAAGTCAACTAGTTATTCTTGTTGTTGTATTTTATTTTGAGCGTTATATATTCTAAGATCGAATATTTATCTCCCTACTGATAGAATTGAAACTTATTAGCTAAGAAATAGATTCATTCATCAACTTCTATATTATTTAATTTACAAAATTTTATCTATACATTTAGTCTTCCTAACATTATCCTAAACTTTATTCCTTCCTCGAAAATACCTGTAGTGGAAAAATGATTTCTCGAGCCATGCCTATGTACGTATGCCACTATAAAGTTGAACGTTTTTTCTTGGGTGCCCAAACGCGGGAACTTTTATACCCTTTTCTTTTCTCATGGCTAATTAGTCCAATTACCGATTAATTAGTTTCTCTTTGTGATTTACATGGATACATAAATTAATTTGATTATTTGATAAGAGAATGAAATTTTAGATGATCAATGTCTATAGTATATTACTGACCACCAGTAGGTCATGCATACTTTACTTTTAGGTCATCTCCAACCAACCCCACCAAAGGGTTATAGAGCTAAAAATAGCTCGAAATGACTCGAAAACGGTCTTTAGCCGAGGACTAGGCCAAAGGGCTTGTGAGCCCCATTGGGCAAAAAAAATGAAATCAGGCCAGCGGGCTAGCCTCATCCAGCCAGCTAGCCAGCCTTCTTCCGGCCCAACAATATAAATGCAACAGTAACCTGGCCTCAGCATGATGCCAGCTAGCAACAACTAGCTAACACCAGGTTACTGTTGCATTTGATTTTTTTTTTTTTTTTCCAGACGCTTTTTTAAAAAAAAATTCTAATTTTTTTCCTATAAATACCTAAGTCATTCCTACACCATTTCTCACATAATTTTCACCATTCCATACTATCATACCTCATTTTATTTCAATTCTTCACATTCTATTCTCTTACCTTTTCCAATAATCTTTCCTTCTAATTTTTCAATAATTTTCAAATGGCCACATCTGCAATGAAAAAAAGGGCTTGGACCCGAAAAGAAGATGAAGCTCTTTGAAGGGCTTATAGATGGGTCTCGGAAGATAATGTCAAAGGGAGTTCTCAAACAAGTGAAGGTGTTTGGACTCGTACATCTAAAAAGTACTATTAGTTATATGAAGGCACTACTCCACTGAATCCCCGAAACCACGAGAATTGTTCTTCAAGATCGAAAAAACATCTTCAACCAAGTTTGAATAAATGGCATCAAGCAGTGTTAAGCGCCCAAAGCAAAACATGAAAGCGGAGCCAATTACTACGATGAAGTAAGTATTTTCACACGTGATTTTAAATATTTAATTATATTACATTTAATTTCTTAAATAAATTTCCTTTAATTTTTTTAATTATATTTTCTAGGTACGCCAAGCGGAGGAATTGTATATGGAGGACATGAAAAAAATCCTTTAGTCATCACGGTTGTTGCGAAATTTGTAAAGGGTGAGTGTTATTTCAAGATCCACCTCAAGAAAGATTTGATCCTAAGCCAGTGTTAGGAAATGTTTCCTCAAATGCAATTAGGGATGAACAAGGATCTCCTATCATTCAAGAAATAAGGGTAGAAAATCCGTCTCCGGGTGAATCTTCCATACCTAGGGCTACGGGACGAAACAAAGCCCAAAAATTAAGGAAAAGGTCAGGCAAAGGATGATTTAGCCTTTCGAGAGGAAATGGCGTCCTCATTGAGATTAATGGCGGAGCAAAATGCCCTTGCTACGAAAGAAAGGAAGCATAGGCACGAAGAGCAGGTAAAACAAATACAAGAAGAGATAGATGATAGGAACATGCAAAGGAACACTTCGAAGTACACTCCAATGAGTAAGGCACATTTTGAGAGGAAAAAACAGGAAAATTATGGCCCGACGGGAGTTGTTGACATCCAACTATACTCATACAATGGCGAATGAAGATGATGATTATAGTCTTTAAAATGAAGTTGTTGTAGTCTTCAATATTTCACTTGTAGTTTTTAAATTCAAGTTGTAGTTTTAAATTTAAGTTTTGTACTCTTTAAATTAAACAACATTAAGCAACACAATCTCCACCCTAGTACTACTTGGGGGAGTTATTCAAACTTAAACAACATGAAACTTAAACAATATTAAACAAAACATTTAACAACATAAAACTTAAACGCCTACTCCATGGTTCTTTTGGCCCAAAGATGTGCAACAAGATCCTATTATAGGTAATTGTTTGTGGCACGCGAACATATCATCCTATGGCGCCTTATGTACTCATTTAAAGAGATATTAACAGTTCTTGGATCTAAAGGCAAATTAGACCCATCATATATTTTTGCACGAGCCCTCCTTAACCTATTTGGATCATTTGGTCATCATTGGACTCTCCATCAATATAGTCATCTCGTTCATCCTCCACAATCATGTTGTGTAATATTATGCACAACATCATGATGGAGTTCAATTTATCTCGACTCCATCCTCTTGCCGGTTCCTTAATGATCTTCCACCGTGCTTGTAGAATATCGAAAGCTCTCTTAACATCTTTCCGATATGCCTCTTAGTGTAAGGTAAACCACCTTTGGGCGTCATCCACAAGGTTTGCAATTGCTTGGACAAGTGTCGCCCACTTTGGGTAGATGCCATCTGCCAAGTAATACCCCATATTGTACTAACGCTCGTTGATGTAGTAGTCAAGTTAAGGTGATTTACCCTCCATCAGGTTATTAAAGAGGGGTGAACGCCTAAGTACTGTAATGTCATTTTGAGATCTTGAGACTCTAAAGAAAGCATGCCAGATCCATATGTCAAACGAGGCAACTGCCTTTAACACAATAGTTGGCTTTCTCGATCATTTGCTAAATCTTCATCGCCATCTGCTGAGACAATTCTTCCACTGCCAATGCATGCAATCTAATAACCTTATCATGCCTGGAAAGCCTCGGTCTTCAGCTTTGCGAAGGAGACGAGCTAGATTTGCTTGATTTGGTTCACGAAGGTACTCTTCTTTGTAAATTTGAACAACTGTGTGACAGAATTCAGCAAGATTATCAAGGAATGTAGACTCAGACATACCATTTGTATCATCCATTACATCAGTTGGGGAGGCATAGGACAGCATTCGGAGTGCAATAGTAACCTTTTGATGAGGTGAGAAACCAATGTGGCCTGCTTTATCCATCTTATGTCAAAAGTATGGATTGACATGTTGGACATGATAAAGTAAATGCTCGAAGACATGATGCCTTATCTAGAAGCGACATTTGGAATCCTCTTTTGTGTACACGGAGTTGGAGTTAAAGTAGTTATTCATCAGAGTCTCATGCACCATCTCTCTATTTTGTGGTTTCTAAGAGCAACTAGCAACAGAGCTACCCCAATGAAGTTGTTCTTCAATTTCCTCACAAGCCATGACCCTAACCATTGCTGCCATATATGTTGTGTTGAGCCATGCTTCATCTTCGTCATCGGAATCCTCATCTTTTCGTCTCATCTGTGCCCATTTATCTTCCAATTCGGAATTGGATGAGAGGATCGAAAGTTGGAATTCATTGCAAACTTGAATTGAAAGAGATATTGGAGAGGGCAAAGATGAAGGTGCGTACCCTAATATCTAGCCAATTTATTAACATTGGAAGCTAAAGATAAGAAATGCCATGTAGAAAAGAATCCTATCTAAAATTTGCACAACCAATTTCATCTCGACACGTGGCACTCGAAATCCTATCTGAAAAATTATTCATATTACATAAAGATAAGAAATCTAGAGAGTTACTCACATTAGCAAAACTGTCACTTGAAATCCTATAAAAAAAACTATTGAGATTATATAAAAATAAGAAATCTGGAGGCTTATTCATTTGGCGACAAGTGGCACTTAAAATAAGTCTGAAAACCTTATTTTAATATGGTAGTTTAATTTAAGTAACCATATTAATTCAATTAAAATAATAAATTATGTTTGGCCTATGACCCTTTGGCCCCCTCGGCTAGAGATGGTATTTTGTCCAGGGGCTATGTTTGGCTTATGACTCTTTGGCCCCCTCGATTGGAGATGGTATAAAATATGGCTTGACACTATTCATTAAAATATAATTTCTTGCAGGGTTATAAGGCTAAAGGGAGCCATTTGGCCCTCCCTTAGTTGTTGATGGCCTCAGTTATACATATCATATGTGAGGATGAGATGTATACTTCAAAGTAGGACCTTCCATAACACTATTTAATTATAGGATTAATCTTATTTTACTACCCTGAAATTTCATGGTTTTCACCATTTGATACATGAAGTTTTTTTTCATCCCATGGTCATACCTCAAGTCTTAATTTTGGGACAATCTCATACATTTGTTAAGCTGGCTATTAAGTTAGGCGTTAACTGGTGACATAGTGCCGATGTGGACAATGACTAGGCGCTATGTGTCAATATGGGCCCTCGTAGATATTTAAAAAATTTTAAATTAAAAAAAAAAAAAAGGGGTGGTGAGGGTGGAAGAAAGGGAGCCCGCATCACTATGGCGCCTATGGTAAGAAATATTCCCTAGGGTTTCTGTCAATTTATCAGGAAAGTGGATAACTTTAAAAGTCATAAACATTAGGTGTAAATTGTACAAAATTCACGAGTACAGTTAGTGAGGGAAGAGAAATACATCAGAACGCAAGGCGTAGATCTTGTGGAATAAGTTATCAGTGTAAAATTAGAATCTTGTAGCTTGAGGAAGATTGATGATTGGCTATTAGAAATATTTGGAACGAATTTGTGGATCACTAATTAGTTTATATATTTGGCAGAGCTTGGCATTGCAATTGTATTCTGGTTATAGACCATCCGACTTGAAAATGTGTGTCCTTGCTATTCATGACCTGCAGTTGAACAGAAAATCAAGCTCTCTGCAAGCGATAAGAGAAAAATACATGAGACCAAAGGTAATGCAGTTTTACCTTCTGATAACTATGCGTCTTGCGAATTTGGTTATATTATGGATTTTACTTCCAAAGAGCTATAGTTTCCTTGCATTTCTGGAACACTTCCCGACTTGTAGGACTTATAATCGCTGCTTTCCATAAACGTTTATCTGACCATGACGATTCCACTTTTTTCTTTACAGAATAAGAGCGTGGCGAAACTGTCTTCGCTCTCTGAAATTCCTGCAACTTATTTTGAGGCCATCTACCCATGAATATCTCCAAGATCTTGAAGGAGGAAGATGATATTTGATTTGACCTAGTTTTGAAAAATAACATTCGAGTTTTCAACATAACACATTTCCTAGTAAGAGCAAGCTAAAGACAGTGCTTGCACTACACAGTTAGATGCAGATTGCAGAGGGGACATTTCCTCAGCTCTGGAGATTATACTTTCTTTTCTTTTTTTGGGAGAAAACACAATGTTTGTTCTCTGGACCAAATAATATTTTGTAAATTTCCATGGATGTGAAATAAAGGATATTTTTGCTGAGGCATATCAAGCTATATTTGTTTTTAACTTTTTATCCTATCTCTTCATGCTTTAGGCGTAGGATAAGCAAAGAATAGAAATCGTATCACAACTGAATTTTAGTTTTTAAATTTTTTTTTTTACAAATAATAGCGTGAGTAGTGTTAATTGTTACGGGACAGGGTGATTGGTATAATCGAATGCGCACCAGCGTCTATAGATGTCATTATTTTTTGCTATTGCGGTAAATCGCCATCTGCACAACTACTACCTCTTAGTTGATCTTACTCTTAATTTTTAGGTATTGGATGTAGACCTGGCATTCGTGTCGTGTTTTCCATGTTTGTGTCATTTTCATTACATACCCGATATCTTAATGTGTTGTGTCGTGTAACACCCGTTAAAGTAAATGAGCAATATGACCTGGCCTGAAATAGACCCGTTAATATTATTAGGTAATATGACCTGACCTATTACCCATTAAGGAAAATATATTCTAAATCAATAAATAATGAAAATGAAACATAATATAACCCCCAAAAAATAGAAAACATAATACTAAATTATTATATGCATACCACGTTGTCATATAAATATTTCTTCAAAGCATACAAAAAAATTCAAATATTGCACCCCAAAATAAGAGTCTAACGAAAAAACATTAGTACATTTATACAGAATAGCAAATGTTCAAGGATATGCAAAATGAAGGGAGTTGCGTTTCAAGGTTGAGGAGCCTTGCACGTTATTTTACAACAAAACCCTTCAATTTTCATTTTTTTTTCAAAGGGTAATAATATTAGATACGAACATAAATGTTTACATCAATAGCCAGAGTGTTAAATAGCCACTCCGGCTCCAAGCAATCCCACAAATGAGAACCCCCCATACGCGTGACAAACTGTGCCACCAAATGCGCAGCCTCATTATAGGCACGAGGAGTATAAAGAAATTCCACAAACTCCAATTGGTTTCTACTAAACTCAATGTCCCATAATATTCCTTCAATGCTAGCCTCCGACAAAAGAAGACCATTTAACATCTCCACAAGAAACTTCGAGTTTGTTTCAATTTGAACCCTTCCATAACCTTTCTCCATACAAGCCAATAAACCCCACCTCACCGACTCCACTTCCGCTATCAAACTAGACCCACAGAAGACAACCCCCACACCCCCGGCCCTATGAAAAATCCCAGCAAAGTCTCTAGCCACCCACCCAAACCCACCAATCCCCGTTCGTGAACACCAAGCACCTTCACAATTAACCTTAATTGTTTGAAATGGAGGTTTCACCCATCTCGCCTGAACCATCCCCTCTACCCTGCGTTGCGGCCTTGTGACAACTCTTTGCTCCCCCCCTTCTCCCTCACTCCATTGATGAAACAAAGACTCCAAAGAAGATCAAGGCTCCACTATAGACTTCTCAAAGACCACGGTATTCCTACATTTCCAAAGACGCCACAACCCACATACCACCCATCGCATAAGCTTGTCTGCCTCAACCTCATCACTATATTTCGTCCACAACCACTTCCAACATTCCAAGAAATCATCACCCTCCACCAAATTCACATCCAATTGTACTGGTGAACCAAACCAAAACATTCTAGCAAAGGAGCATTTGAAGAAAAGATGTACTTGTGTCTCTGTATCCTCCCCACACTGTGTGCAACAAGTCTCTAACTGCATCCCCTGGCGTTTTAAATTAACACGAACCACCAAAATATTTTTGCATCCCTTACAAATGAAATGTTGGAGTTTGGAAGTACCCGCAACTGTCACACATCAAGCCAAACAGGGTCCTTAAGATGACCCTCACTTGATTGACCCGTCCCCTTTCGACCCAGTTCACCCTTTCGCTCCATCCCCTGAGCCACCTTATATCCCGATTTAACTGAATATACCCCATTCGGTGTATAATGCCAAGTAATACGATCCGGACAACCAAATCTGCTAATCGGTAAGCCTAAAATAATACGGCCTTCGTCAATGTTGAAGCAATTTTCAATCACATCTCTCTTCCATGTACCGTTCAGTGCCACCAGATCTACAACCAATTGCGGCATCTCCGGAGACCTGGAAATAGCCCGGAACGAGCGAGGAATAGGTAACCATGGATCCAATTGAATCCAAATATTACGACCATCACCCACCCTTCAACGCAAACCTCCATTTAATATTTTCCGGCCTTGCAAATACCCTTCCACCCCCAAGAAGTTCCTCTACCCACTGGTGCATCCAAGAATGACTAGGAAGGATAATATTTCGCTTTAAGAGTCCTTGCCAATAGAGAATCTGGGTTGCACATAATTCTCCACCCAACCTTCCCGAGCATGGCTAAATTAAACGAAATAATTTCCTTAAACTTAAGGCCTCCCTCAGTCTTACCTTTCGGCAATTTGTTCCAGGTCATCCAATGAACCCCCTTATGTGTTTTCTGGTCTCTCCACCAGAACCGAGCAATTACTTGCTCAATCTCCTTAGCCAACCGAATAGGAAGCTGAAAACATGACATAGTATAATTAGGCATAGCAGTTGCCACACTTTTCAAAAAATCCTCCTTCCCAGCCACCGATAGAAACTGCTCCGCCCAACCATTAATTTTTTCTTCCAGCTTATTCCGTATGTCTTCGAACACCTTCGTTTTGGAGACCCCAAAATCTACTTGAATACCCAAATAATTGCCAAAAGTCTCCTGATAGTTAACTCCTAATATTCCTGATAACCGATTCCTTAAAATTGGGGAGCATGTAGGACTAAAAAAAACCGAGCTTTTCTCCAAATTCACTTGTTGACCCGAACCTTCAACATATTTCTGAAGCGCACTATTAATATTACCAGCCTCCATCTCCGTAGCTTGACAAAAAAGAACTGAGTCATCTGCAAAAAACACATGAGAAATATGTGCGGCATTATGGGCAACCATCATTCCCCTAACTCCCCCAACCCTCTCTTCATTTTGTAAAAGTGCAGATAGTCCCTCAACACAAATCAGGAACAAAAACGACGATAACGGATCTCCTTGCCGTAATCCTCTACATGGAGTGATATTTCTGGAGGCTTCCCCATTAACTATTACACTATAAGAGACTGTTCGGACACACTCCATCACCCACTGACAAAATAAATCACCAAAACCCAATTTATGAAGCATAACATTCAAAAATGGCCATTCAACCCGGTCATAAGCCTTCGCCATATCCAGTTTCAATGCCATGTAGTTGATCCCGTCCTCATTCCCTTGCTTTATAGAGTGGAGTAATTCATGAACCAGAAGTATATTGTCAGAGATTTCTCTTCCTCCCACAAACGCCGACTGATTCGGACTAATCACCTTAGAGATAACTTTCTTTAAGCGATTTGTCAACACCTTTGAAATAATCTTATACACCACGTTGCACAAAGATATTGGCTGAAATTGAAACCCTTCAATTTTCATCAATCACCAAGGGAAATGGTATTTGAAGTTTGGCTTGATATGTTGTCTTAAAGAGTTATATTGATGATGCTTTTATTAAGGCTTATTAACACTCTCTTCTACATAAACTAAGCATAAAAAACCAAACATTGTAAAGCATTCAAATGTGTTGGCATTTTTAAATTACTTGATTTATTTTTATTTTTAATGTGTTTGGTATTTTTATTTTTAATGTGTTTTATAATTTTTTAATCTCACTCTTTGCCTATAATATACTATAAAAATAAATAAATAAATAAATAAAACTTACAAATTTAAATTTATATAGAATAATAATATATATTAATATACAATATATACATATGCGCTATGGCTATTGCATTTTATAGTAAGTCTTTTAAGGAGTTTAAAAAATTAAAATCATCAAAATAACTTTTTTCTTAACTTGTCGAAACGGGGTATCCGCATATCACTCTTGTGTAAACCTATTAAGGACTTGTTATTAACGGGTTATTATTGTGTGACCTCATTAGTTATTTTGTTGACTCGAAACCTGTTATTTTCGTGTCGTTTCGTATTATGTTAACGGGTCGCGTAAGAAATTATCAAGTCTAATTGGATGATTGATTTTGGATCTTGATTTTGAGATGGGATTCGTCACCCATGTACTATGTGTGCTAATAAATGTGTGGAAGTTAAGAATTAGAATAATAATTAGACTTTTTCTCATACTCATTCTTAATAAGTAAACATCTACTGCATCTGGTTGGTGAGAAAATGAAATAAGACATGAGAAATCATTTTTTCTTTTCCATGTTGAGTAAGTACATGGTGGGAAAATAATGTATCAAATGCTAGTAATAAACGTTTGTGAAAAGTGGAATCAAGGGTTGTTTTCTTTCTTCTTTTCACAATATTAATTAGTATTTATTATCTATACTATGTATAATTTTTTTTTTGGCCGGAAAAAGAGTATATCAAAGCGAAAAACCTCTAACACAACTAGATCCTCCAGCATCAAATGCTAAATTTTGGGCACGATTCCTAAACATGCAAATTTTGAACATCTCTACCAATAGTTGCAATAGCATCAGCAACAAAGTTGGCCTTTCTGAATATATGTAAAGGTTTATTAAAGTATTGTATGTCCTCGCAAGGAGGGAAAAGTGCACCGCAAGGGTTTCATCTAGGGTTAGGTTATCATCTACATTTTCTTGTGGACGACCGAAACTGAGTTCGTAAGGGGCGTTGACTGGTTATCATAGTGCTGGGCCTAGATTGTGTATAACATCCAGTATGGAGAAGATGAACCTAGAGGAGTTACAGAAACAATTTGGGTTAATCCTTTCCTTATCGAACAAGGAGAAAACTGGGGTAAAAATTGCGCCAAGGGATGTGGAAGGGGCATTGGTGGGCTTCCATTATAGTGTGATCGCAGAAGTATTTACAGTAAAGGAAATGAATGATCATGCTTTCATTGATCAGTTTACCCCCCTGTGTAGAGGAAACGAATGGGTTTCAATTAGGGCCTTGGGAGGTGCACGGTTTATTGCGAGATTCGTTGGTAAGAAAGATATGCTTAAGTTTTTGGAGATGGATAAGCCTTGGGTGTTTAGAGACGATATGGTGCTGGTGGTGGACGGTTCTTGCGAGGGACGTGCGAGTGATGCGCCACTGTTCTTGGCGACTATTTGGGTCCAATTAAACAACGTTCCGCCACTTAGTATGATTGAAGCAGTAGCCAAGGCTATCAGCACCGTGATTGGGAAGGTTTTAAAAGTGGACAAGGATGATGGACGGGATTGCATAGGGCGGTTTCTCAGAGTCAAAACTCTCATGTGATATTCGTGAACCATTGATGCGTGGAAGGCTTGCCTGATTATTGTTTGATTTGTGGAAAATTGGGCCATGTAACTAGGGTTTGCAAGGAGTTGGTGCTGGGTGAAAATTCCACGGAACAAGAGGTTGAAAAGTTGTATGGGTTTAAGGGTTTAGATGTTGAATTTGATCTTCGGGGCAATCTAATTTCGACTTTTTCCCGCCGCTCATCAGTGCATGGTGGTGGAAATACGAGATTAATGTCGGGCCGTTGGGGAAGTGGACTTGGGGGTTTTGGCAATAGGTGGAGGAGTGAGCCCTCGAATAATGAGAGTTAGAGGCGGTCTTCAACACTGGGGGAGTCGAGCAATGTTGATGGTGTGGGGTTCTAGTCGCCGGGTACTGAGACAGTATGAGAGAGAATTCGAAGGGGGAAAGAAGCTGAAGAGCAACGATGAAAGGAGCGGGAGTGGGCTTTTGATGCTAGACTCATTAAACCTGGATGAGTGCTAGACTCGGCAGCCATTGGGGTGGTTTTGAATGACCATCCTGAGATGGGGATGAATTCCAACCATGAGGCTGTTTTTGACTTGAATGGTGCCGCAAATGGAGAAGAGAAAGAACCAGCGGGTGGGAGTGTTATTTTTCAGTCGCAACCTGGCTTAGAAAGGGATGCTCAGATATAGTGAGTTTTTTTTTATTGAGGTTTTGATTGCGGATGCGGAAAAGAAGTGCAACTGGAGGTTAATATTGTTTATGCTAATACGGATGATCGTAAAAGGGAAAAGCAATTGCAAATCTTGAAGGATCGATTGTCACTTTACGATGAGCCGTGTTTGCTTATGGGCGATTTTCATGATTTGTTATGTGATTCAGAGAAAGACTGAGGTAATAAGAGCAACTCCAGCTTTGCTGGTTGCTCGGGGGACAGGCGAGGAGAAAGGGCCCGAGCGACAGGCCCGGCGGGGATTGCTAGCCCGAGAGCCTGAGGGCTGTGTGACGTATGGCTGATGTGCTGCATCGGTGCATGCGCTCGGTGTTCTCTGCGTCCTCCTTCCTCCTTCCTCCTCATCCT